TAAACAGATTTGAGAAGTTCTTTAAACCTATTGCTTTTATGAGGATTTTAACTTTAAAAACGTTCAAAATGCGAATAACTTAAAATCTCAGATGAGGATAAACTAGTGTTCATAATTGAACATTAAATTCAGTCTCCCACAGTTAATAAAAATTTTGACATGAACTTTCAGTGGTTTAATCTATTCACTACCTAAATTCATAGAAATATAAAAATTAAAATATACAGAATTTCCATGTAGTTTTGAGCTACATTGCTAAAAGTCTGGCATTAGAAGGCAGAAAATATCACAGAGCACCAGTAGGTGTCAGCCGCAGCCTATTCCATGGGCTGCTGTGCTCGCCAGGTTTTGCGAGCAATTGTTTATAAGAAGTTTATGTAGGTTTTTGTGTGTCTGTAATTTTAAAAGGGAACATTCTAATGCACTGCAGTTTTATCAAGGTCATTTTAAATAAGTTTTTAATAACAATGTAGTGATGCCCTTTTAGTAGCAAAACATTTAGCACTTATTAAGTAGTTTGTCATGGAAGGTTAGAATGCAGTCTGGTGGAGCCAGCAGGAATGGTAGGGTTTCCTGCGGTGTCCAGGTTAAGTGTTGCTGCTGTAATAGAGGAGGATGGATGAGAACCCGAAAGCTTTTCTGTTCTGGAAAGGTCTTTACTTTTTATAGAAGTGGCTGTAAGCAGGGACCCCCCACTCCAGTTCTGTAGTTTTGTTAAGATGCTCTGCATGTATGCCTGTAGTGGAAGGGCATCTTCTCCTTACTAGGAGAGACAAGAGAACTAAAAAAAATAATAATAAAATATAATAAATTGCAGGGATTTGGATCGATCCCTGAATAACATATGAGGAAGGATATTTTAAAGGACCTTATTGTGCATATAGATATAAAAATATCAAGGGGTAGGGGAGCACAGCTTGTATTATTTAAAAACTAAATACAAGTGGTTCTGTCAAGGGTGAATGTTCAATAAATGCTTCATTTACTTTATAACAATATTCACATTTGTTTTATTTGTGTATCAAGGGCAAAGATGTATATACATAAGCAACTTGGAATTCTGTTGCTGAATATTCGAATACATCTGCATTTCAGTATAAGGTTAATATAACATATATAAGCAGCAGAGACCTCCAGGCTTGTGTAAAGGCAACAGGACATGAATTCATTGTGCCTTGGCTCAGGCAGACCATGGCAGGGCCTTCTGCCCAGAACAGAAACGTGCCCCTTTTATAGGATTGCAGGAGAGAAGGCAGGGACATTATGTGGGAGGGCATAGCCCAGTGAACGTCTATAAACATCATATACAAGACTTTTGAAGTTTTCTGGCAATCTTGCATCTCTGTGGGCCGAGTCCTTTGAAAGTGTGGCTGTATGTTTTCACATGTCCCCAGAGCCTGCAAAACTCCTTGTCCTGGATTATCTCCTCTCCTTGCTGTGGATGATGACAATCTTCAGTACTGAGCTGAGGTCCCCACAGATAGCAGTACATCGGCTGGCTAGCAGGCTCGGTTGGAGATGGTGAGATAGTTTACAGTTCTGTCTCGGCTACCTCACTCTCCTTGCTGGGATGAGATACCCAACCCTCAAAATCAAGGAGGGAAACATTTATTTGGCTCACAGTTAGTGGAGGTTTTCGGCCACACTCGGCTGACTCCAAGGCAGAGGGGCACATGGCAGAGGGCAGCAGTTCATGGTGGCAGAAAATAGCAAAGAGCAAAGGGAGGAGCAGCAGCTAGCCAGCCTCTCTCCCTTCCTTTATTGTATGCAGATTACCCACCCTAAGGTGGGTGTAGCCATGAACCCCATGATCCAGTGTTGACTGCATGAGGCTTTGGGGGGACAACTAGGCACAAACTATAACAAGTTCCTAATGTTTCCTTGTGTAAAACAAAGAGGAAGATTTCCGTTGTGTTTGCACTTCTTTTAAGAAAGTTATTTAATAGAAAGTAAAAACCCTTAATGATGTGTTCTTTGCCATTGTCTGAAAAACCATCACAAAACTTGATAGACAGTTGGCTTTGAGTATTTCTGTCTCAAACTGTAAACAATATGATCAACCAGCCAGTTATGTAAATAGCTTATACTGTGCCTCCTACTTTTTAAAACTGAATTTTAAGGTTTTTAATTACAAAAAGACATGTATTGTTAAAAATTCCAATAACACAAGTAGAAGGAAAATACCAATTCTGGTCTGTTTCCTGAAAATAATCATTATTCGTTTCTTTTTTTTTTTTTTTTTTTTATGTATTTGGTAGTTTCAGGGTCTCACTATGCAGCTTGGACTCATGGTAATCCTGCTGCTTTATTTATTTTTTCATGTATTTAGTGTAGCCTACAGGGGCTCACTACACAGATTGGACTTGTACTGTTCCTCTTGTCTTTGCCTCCCAAGCACTGGGATTACAGGCATGTGCCACCACGCCCAGTCTCAATCACTGTCTCAGCGCGCCTGAGAGTGAGGCTGGCATGGCATGCCAGGGATCGAATCCCGGCCTGCTGTGCTCTGCCTAAGCAAGTGCTTTAGTCCGCTGAGCTATCTGGCCGGCCCTGATCCTGCTGCTTTCAACCTCTCCAGTGCTGGGATTAGAGATGTGCACCACCATGCCCCGACACTGGCCAGCTCAACCTGCCCTGGGGGCGGGGCTGGTGCAGCATGTGGTGCCAGGGACAAACCACGGTCCCTGTGCTTGCCTAAGCAGGCACTTTAGTCTGCTGAGCTATCTCATTGGCCCACTTTTTTTTTTTTTTTTTTTTTTTTGGCAGAACCGGGGATTGAACTCAGGCCCTTGCGCTTGCCAGGGAAGTGTTTATTCCACTGAGCCATCTCCCCAGCCCCTGGCCCGCTTTTTTAAAAAGTATTTTTAAAACATTTTTGCTGCTAACGATGAAAAATCCTTTCTTCATTATAGCCCTTAAATATCATCATCCCCAACACTTTAGTTTTCCTATTGACACAACTGTGTTTATAACAGGATTTTTGAAGACCAGAATTTAAGGACTTCTATTCAGGAGTTACAGTGTGATAGATGGTATTTTTAATTTCCTAAAATGCCTCCTATGTCTTCCACCTTTTCATCTGTTATTTCTTGTGCTTAGGAAGCTAACTAGAACTGTCCTCCCGCTACCTCTTGTCAGCTTCTCGCATAATTTGTTTGTCCAGGGCAAGCCAAATAGCTCAGTGGATTAAAGCACAGGGCCAGGGGTTCAATCCCAGAGCCTGTCATGCTGACCTTGCACCTGTAATCCCAGCACTTGGGAGGCTGTAAACAGGAGAATCACTATGAGTCTGATCTATTAGTGAGACTCTGAACACCCTGTAG